TTTCTTCATATAAAAATGCGCTACAAAGTGCATACTAAAATTTTTTCTAAAAATGGGTATTTAAGGAGCGAAATATAGTTAGCGAAACAAATGAAAAGTTAAAAAATCTCAGTTTTGCAAAAAAAAACATATACGTGAGTTTTATTGAGCCAGTGTATGTATAATACACTTTTAAAAATAGCAGTTAAAAAAATTCGAAAAAGTTTTACCATTTTCCTAAGTGGAAAGAACTTATGAAGTTTCTGTTAATATAGAAAAACCTTATCTCACTTTTTTTAATATTTACGGATTGTTAGCTACCTGATAGCTTTCGGATATATCTAGATATTGAAACCGTTATGAGCCATGCATGTTCTAAAAATTACTTACAATAATGTTCGTAAAATCTTCGTTTTTCACATAGCAGTGTTTTGTTTCTTTAAGAAAATTAAGTAAAAGGCATTTTTGGCAAATATATGAATTGCGATCGATTTATTTTTTGACGATTTTTTTCGGTATCGATTATTTTTATTTCGACTCGAATCGATTGAAAAATTTATTTTATTTTTTGTTACGAACTGGCATCTCTAGCAGAAATGCTCCTAGGCGGCTCGATATTTTGAACTAAAATAAAATTCTGTAGGTTATGAAAGTGGACAATGGCAAAAATAGACTCTGGAAATTAAATTTTTATTATATTCATTAAAGACTTTTAAAAAGCGAAGTTGGTCTAATTTTACACTTTTCACCAAAAACGGTTGAAGGTTTACACTTTTATTTCTGTAATTTAACACTGCGAAAGATGCTTCCGGCTACAGTCGTGCCAACACAACGAGTAAAAGAAGTCAAAGTTTGTTGGCGCGCATTTTCCGCTTGGAAATTGCCAACATAAATAACAAAAGTAATGCCATTTTTACACGCCAACATAACGCAAAGGCCGTTTAAACCAACAAACGGAGGCGGCGCATGCAAGCAACACAGGTGAGGATGGCGGTGAAGGACGCTGCGCTTTGCTATATGTAGAAATCAAAATATGTACATGCATAGATATTTGTAAGCGCATGGGTGACATGCCGATCCAGCAGTCAACGATCAAAGCAGCCAAACACTTGTGCGACAGAGTGTTATAAGCTTCTCGGCGCGCCGTCTACTCTACACACCAATCGAATGGCCTATCTGCACGCTGACGATGTGAAATTTAAAGTTACGCTTAGAGCGCAGTTACCCACGAACGTGTACGTAGCGTAGCGTAGAAGTACGTAGAAATATAACAAATTTGCTGTTGATAGAAAGAGAGAGAAACAACGTCTACGTCGCGGTCGTGCGGTGGTGAGTTTTTGTTAACACGCAGGTCCAATAAAAGCATAGACAGACGGCAGCGTTGATCCGGATCAAGTCTTTAATTCGGAGTTATTTCGGGAATTAACTGCAGTTGATCCGGATTAAGTCCTTGAGTTAATTCCCAAACTTAACTCAGATCAAGGGAATATTCGATGACAACACTGACCAAAACTCAGAGATCGTAGAATACAGAGAAAGTACAAAACCAGCATGGGCATATACCTTTTCATCGGTAATGCATTCACCATACGAATTCAGATAGGAATCTAATTTAAACTGAATAAGAACTTATTTGAACTAATACGGTGACTGCATTGCCGACGACACGGAGGATGTCCATGCTAGTTTTGCATTTTCTTTGTGTTCTACGCTCCCTGGGCAAACAAATACGCAAACAAAGCAGCCAACTACTTCATCTGCGGTAGCTGAGTAGTGAGGGCTGCGTACTACAAGCCTAGAGCTCCCAGGTTTGATCCTCGGTTGGAGCGTTTGGCAAAAAAATTTTGTTTTTCGTGTTCCTTAATTTTATTTGATGTACATACATATATACTTAATTTTACTTTGTTTTATTTTCGTTTGTTATATTTTATTTCACATTTTTTATTTTATTATTAGTTTATTTAAATTTTTAGAGTTTAATTTTACTAAAAAGTCAAAATTAACTAACTAAAAACCACATTAAAAAAATATAGAAGTTATAATTGAATAAAAAAACATTAATCCGCATTACTGCCGTCTGTCAAGACACAATTTTGATCCGATAAAGTGCGGCGCTAATCCGGATCAACGTTACCGTCTGTCTATGCTTTAAGATACATAGATCGTGTCAGCTGACACATTCTCCGTTTTTACGTCCGTGGCTAAGTGCGCCTTTAGACTCGTTAGCAGCAGCCGCAGACGCGTTTTATTTCTCGGGCTGCCAACACGTAGCGGCGTTGCCATGTGGCGTGGCTTAAGCATAAAATGGCTACTTAAAAAGCGAATATTGTAGCAACATTACGCGCCGAGATATTAAAATTTGTATATGCTTCCGTATGTATTTACTACTATGTGTGTATGTAAGTAAGCTAGCAGGCGCAATTTTAAAGCGCTTTTAATGCCTTTTAATGAGCATTAAGAAAATTATATTTATTGTGTTGACATTGATGGTACGCGCGCGACTACAAGTGGAGTTAATTTTCAACCGTTAACTACTGCGCTCACACAGCTACAACATTAGCATTGAAGGAGGTAAATCTTTTTTGTATATGAACCCTCGTCTCTGCGAGATTTTTCTTTTTTTTTTCTTTTAATTTTACTTTGCTAAATAGCGTCTTAACGCGAAATAAAATGGCATTTAGTAGCAATTTATTATATTGTAGCACAACTTGTAGGCTTTTATGGGCTACAAAACATCTCCGCCTCGTAAAATTGGTTAGCTGCTGCTCCAGCAAATGTGTGTGGGCAGCATGGCATGGTATTTAGTTAGATTTTACTCGTACATAAATCTCGATCAAGTTGACATTACCGTTTTTTAACTGAATTTAATTAGTTGGCGAAAATTTTTGCAAGAAAGCAAAGGCTTCTATGAATAACAAAATGAGAGTAAAGAAAGTATTGTGAAGGGGGGATGACTATGCCTGCTGTTAAAATGATTTCTCGTGCGTAATTTAGTGTTGGGATTTGAAGTCGTCAGACTTGAAATTCATTTAGCTAAGCAGTTGTTAAGCGAAAAATTTATTGCGATGCAAATATTTATGTAGAATACAGAGGAGTGTAGCATTGAAGAGTAGGAGAAGTTGTGTTAGCAACTAACCTATGAAAAATGTACAAATGTATGCAAATAACAATAAATTTAAATTTTAAATAGTATGTACATATGTACATTAGAGTGGTCCAAAAAAAGAGTTCTGAGAAACGGCTCGTCCACCTTACAAAATATTTTCTCTTGCCGAAAGAGATGCTGGCACTAAAATTTACGTTTGTAAGCATAAATTTAAAGAATGCTCATTAAATGTTTATACATATGTATTTTACTCTAGAAGTATTTTGTACATACATATGTACAAACCAAGCAGTTGGTTAAGCCACCTAAGTTGATTTCAAATTTAAATAAGCTGAAACAATATTACAAGCTTCAGTTGTCATGGCAACAGTAGCCTTTTATAAAAATCATCAATATATTTGGCACTTTTTCCACCCATAAAAAACTTGAACCACCCACATGGACATATATTAATTTAAAATTTAAATAATTTTTTTTTTTAATATTTCATACGAAAAGAATTACATTTTTTTTTTTTAATTTTTTCAGCTACATATTTTTTTTTTTAACTAGATACGTACACACATAGTTTTTAATAAGAATAATAGTTTTTAATGTTTTAACAGAAGTAAAAAATAAATTTCTTCTTTCTTATGGGAAAAAAATTGAAAACTATTTTTAAATTTTTTTCTGGCACATATTTTTTCAATTTCATACTTTTTGAATGTTTTTAATAAAAAAAAAATAAAAAAATAATTTTTTCTGGTTTTCAATTTAAGATTTTGTTTGGAATAATGTTAGTTACATAAGTTCCCTTTTAAATTTTTTAACAAAAAGAAATAAATGTCTTTCCTTACTCTTTTAATTTCACCTTTTTCCAATTTTACTAGTACGAATTTTGTTTTACTTGAAGCTCAGCTCTTTAACGCTGTGTTGCGGAGTTATTAATACCACCTGCTTCTCCGCTCTGTTGCTACTTATCATCTTCTTCCTTCAATTTGCTGGTTCTAAGTTAAACAGCCTGTTGGTTTCCTAATCTCGTTAGGCTCTGATGCTTCGAGTGGCAGCCAGGCGGTAGCACTTGGTCGCACCGCAAGATTTTTAAAGTCTTCTACCCTCAATTTCACTCCTCAATACTGCCAATAGTCTTATTTTAGAACAAAATTCAACTGAGCTCTGACTGCAGGCTACAACTCCGGTTGGTATGTGCTAACACCAAGAGTTTCCGCGATAGGTGCCTTTCAGCAAGCACACATCCACTTGCATTTTTACGCATGAACAGACCTCAACCCGGTTTTATCATCCGCTTTGGTCTTACGCTTCCTTTGCCCTCACGTCATGGCTATTGGAAACCCTTTTTGATTGAGCAGAAGGCCGTTAGTTACTATGAGTGGGTCGGCCCTTGTTCAGTTGTGCTCCCACGAGTTGCGAATATATGTAGGTGAACAATAATTCACTATGATCTAGCTAGAGCCAGGCTGTGGTCGCCTCCGAATTTATTCCTTTGGGCAATATTTTTATAGGAAAAAAAAATCAAGTTGAAAAACATTGTGAATATTGAAAAAAAAAATTTACATGTAAACATTTGCTTGAGCCACTGTAAGTAAATATTCCTGTTAACCGCTTTTAATTTAAGAACGATACATTTATTACTTTTACCTTACGCCTTACGCTGATCGCCAACTCAATTCATTTAAGCCCACAATAGACACAACTTAATCTCTGAGTTTTCCTAGAAAATCCATTTACTGTAATTGGCTACAAAATTAAGCAGTTAAATCTTGTATACAATTATTCAAACAGCGAACAAAACACCAACTCTTTATTTTCCTTGCATTTTATTTACAGATTCTCAGTCATACAAAATAAAGCTTTTCGAGTGTGCCCGATATCGATCTCACCAAAAAACGGCTATTTTATCGTGCGCTACAAGGAAATGACGCGGCAAATGGCGAAGGCCACAGCTAAAGCAACGGTGACGGTGACAGTGACTGCAACAGCAACAGCAACAGCGACAAACAATTACTGCACCAACAGACATTTTTCAATATTATTTTACAATGCAACAAAAGAGCGCGAGCGCGAATACAACTGTGCTTTTCACCTTATCAGCGCGACACCGATCTCACACAACCTAAAAACGTACGGCGAGTGTTAGCAAAGAAGGGTGGTGCAGCAGACGAGAAGTACAATACAGGATGAAAAATAAGTGATAACTAAAAAGAAGAAAAAAGGAAGTACAAATTTTTGGTTTTCAACCGACATTGCAGTACAGAAGAAAACTTGGCCTTTTGGCGTTGGCTGCGCGTGCGTCTTCATTTCACCGAGGCAAGCCATGGCACCGGTACGAGTGCAGCTATGGCATATCAAATTCGATGAACAATGACATAGAATGTACAGGCAACTGATTCTATTAGAGAGGTGTTTTTTTTTTTGAACATTTTTAGAAGTACACTATTTTTTCCGCTTGCTTTTTTACACCTTCATTCCAGCTTTGTGGTCAGTTGCTGTGGCAGTAGACGAAAGGCGGTGTACAATATCCAGCCGTCATTGCCGTTTTTGCGCTGAAACTCAAAACTGAGTGGGACGCATGCTCTTTGGAAGCGGCTGCTTGGTGTTTCGTGCGTTGGCTGTAATTACATACATACAAACATCGGTGTGTATGCCTTCAGCTGTTTGTAGCTACATATTATTGATGTTCCTTTATTTACGTCTCATTGTATGTTTGGTATTCGTGTAAATTGCATTTGGCATTGCATTTAAAAAGCGTGAGATTGTAATTTTGGATACTTGAAATCTTCGCTAGTCGCATAGAGCGGAGGCGAGCAGTGAAAGAATAGAAAATAAGTAGTAATCACGGGCAGAGCAGCTGGAATTGGTTGTAATACGAGTTAGTAGTGGGAAATTCTTTCTAGAAAGAAAATACTTAGCGCTACTGGTAGTACTTCCTGTTGAAATACGATAGCCGTCCGCGGGACGCGGTTTTCTTAGAAGTTTCATAGGAGCCGCTTGAGCCATCGAAATAAAACTGGTTGCTCAGGGGTTTCAAAAAGTTAACAGAACAGCACAGATGCTTAAGAAATTTAAGGGAAAATAACGTGAATTTTTCTGCTTCGAGCCGTTACAAAAATGGCCATTTCATACCGGATTTCCCTCATATGTATATAAAGGCTTTGTCGTCGAACCATATTTAGTTTTCTTAAATGTATTCTATTGCTTAGATTTGTTTATGATGCTCAATCGACTTATAAATTTTGTAAACAATTTTTTTACATAGAGGTCTTGGTAGAAGTCAAATGAGGTGAACCGACTTGAAGTCAAATTCAAATAAAATTAAAAGAAAAAAGCGAAATGTAATGAAACGACCTGAAATGAGATGAAGTGACATGAAAGGAGTTAAAATGAAGTCAAACGAAGGCAACAGAACTGAAGTACAGCAAAGTGACATAAAATGAAAAGTGAAATAAATGAAGTGAAATGAAATGACATGAAAAGAAGTAAAGTAAAGTGGAGTGAAATGAAAAATAAAATTAAAGTGAAATAAAATGAAAGAAAGTGATATGAAAATGTATTGAATCATATGAATTGAAACGTAGGGAAGTGAAGTGAAAAGAATTGAATAAAAAATGAAGAGAAGTAAAATGAAAAGAAGTAGACAAAATTATTGCAAATAACTCAAAATTGGCTATATACAGTCAGCGCCAAAAATATGAATACCCTGACGTTTCTTTATTTATATTTTCTATACCAAATTTCTCTTATTTTTTTGTAATAAAAATGTAGTTAGTGCAACAGCAAAAACCAGCAGAATCAATTTTTTCAATTTCATATTGAACTCGAGAAATACCGAAAAATTTACATCAAATTGGAAACTTTTCAATTCTATTTCTTAGAAAAAGTTTGGGTATGCAGTTTTGTAGCCCATTAAATTTTAGTATAATAAGGTGCAAGTTTCAAGCCTATAAAAATTACCGTTAATTTTTGAGATTTTTTTTTATCGAGGGTGTTGCGCATTTTCTTACATATAAAAATAGATTTTCTTCATGCGTTATATGGAAGAAAATGCGAAACACCCTTGACAAAAAACAGATTCTTGAAAGTGCAAGTTTGCTGTAGAATGAACTATATAAAAAAAAATTTGGTATAGAATATACATATAAATAAAGAAAATCGTCAAACCGTCAGCCTATTCATATTTGTGACGCTGACTGTATATAGTTTTTTGTTTATTTTTTCATTTAATTTAATTGCACCTTCTATTCATTTTTATTAAAAAAAAAAAATTATTCAATTAGAAACTAAAATAAGCGAAAGCTTAATTTTTCCTCAGGCTTGATACTGGTTATTTCTTTTTAGAACGCAAAAAAAAAGAGTGAAGTTTTGCTCTGATTAAATCGCCAACTTCTTTTCTTCTCCAGCTTTTTCGCTATAAAAATAATTTAAATCGCGCAATTCACAAATTAACAATTTTTTTCTAAAAAAAATTCACTAACGCTTTTCAATTAATTAAAATCTGTTGCTTCATTTCACTTTTCATAAGCCAATTAAATTACGCTTTCGACTGCAAATTAAATTTTAAAAAATTTTTTTGCGCTATCAAAAACTTTTCCCAGCATCCCTTTTCAATTAACAGTATAGCAACGTAAAAAAATATTTCAATTCAACGAATTAAAGCTGCAACGAGTCAGAAAAAAGAAAATAATAATCATACTGCAGCATAATTTTTGGCGCCATAGTGCAATTAAAACTGCATTTTCACTCTCGACGCATGTAAATTTTTGTGCATATTTTAGGGCGCAGGGCGAGCCAGAAGCCAGACCGCAAAATATTAATTAAAATGCTGCATAATTTCGCGTTGAGAAGAATAAGCAGCAAAGGCAGCAGACTTTTGGGAGTATGCAAATAAATTTCGAGTATAAATAGAAAAGAAAAATGAATTCATAAAAATAAAAGGAAAAACAAAAAACGATGAAAAACCTACTATGGGCACATACATATCGAACTATTAAATAACTTTAAGCACAAAAACAAAAGCACATCTGCAAAAATAAAATAGCACACCCCTCAGCTGTTTTGCGGTCTGGCAACTCTGGCATATACTGGCGCTCAAATACATCCAAATATGCACAAGTTTACTGCAACAGCTGGCAGGCAGCTCGCTCGTCACTCAGTCGGTTTTGTTGGTTTTGACCCCACTTAAAACGTAAGTCAGAAATAATTTTGCGGTGCAGCAAACTTTGCCCAAAATTCGAGCTCAGCAGTTCGCCCACCAACACACTACATTGACTAGTGGCTCTTTCACTTTTTTGTATCATTTGCATTTCATGCTGCTATCAACTTAAAATATTTTTGCAGTCATCGTAATCCTGCATTTGCGAAAACCAGCAACAGCGATTTGGCTGTTGGACGGAAACGGATGTTCGTATGCAAAAATAAACACACACACAGACTCGCTTGTCTAGTTGACTTTTTGTCTGCCTTTGCTGGCAGTGAAATGATGGCGTGTTTGTTTGAGTGTGTGTGTGTGTGTGTGTGTTTCACACGTTGTAGTAGTAGTGTGCGTATAGTGTCACTGCGCTTTTCCGGTTCAAGCACCTACCATAGTCTGCAACAAAAGTCAAGCGAAGGAGGGCGTAGGGAAGCGGCGGTGAGAAGAAGGTAAAGCAAATGTAGAGATGGTGTGACAACATACAAGCTACTCGTACTGATAAGCATTCAAAGGTGCCATTGCATTATTTAAGCCGGGGAAATTAATAAAAAAAGAAGGCAGCCAAAGCTCTGAAGGACAAAGAGATACTGTAGTATACAAATTAATTCTTTAAAGTTTGAATAAAAGAACATCTGCTTCAGAGGTGATGAGCTGATGTTCTTGGTTGATAAAATGAGTTCAACTACAAATGAAATAATGAAGGAATGTGGAAAATGATATCGAATAATACTGTTGATTGTAGTGGTTTTGATAGTGACAAATATAACGGTAGTGATAAACACAATAACAATAATTAACATACGCATATCGTTAACTTTATGATAAATTTATCGATAATTGCGCCGATAAATTTGATCAATACAAGGCGTATTATTCCATAATTATGCAGTCTGTGTATATCGATATTGACATCGATAACTATTTATGCGCATATCGGTTAATTTTTCTATGGAAGTACCGGTGAGTTTTATAGAAACTCTTCGAGGATACTGATATACACTTTGTTGGAAAATTAGTGAGATAAAAATCGATAAATATATCGAGTATTATTTGAAAACATGGAAACTAATATATGTATATCTCGGGTTATACTTATACGAAATACATACATGGAAAATACTATCGATGCATATTTTCATTTCTATATTGTTCGATATATTATAAACGATGTCGTTATGCATTTTTCAAATTGGCTAAACAAATACAAATTCAAGGCCACCATAAATGATAAAAAACCCACCAAGACAAAAATGTTTCACATAAGTGGTATCTGTGAAAGAAAAAAAAATCGAAAAATGTTTGGTGACAGAAATCCCAAAGCGAAACTTTAACTAAAATCCGCTGAGTGTCACAAATACTCGAATTCTTCATTGCAAGTGACAATTGGCGGTGTGGTGACTTTGTGGCCAGCTTTATAGACAGTCTGCTAGCCAATGGACCAGATTGCCGCAGACATATTAATGTGACAACCTCGTTGGCTGCTGTCACGTGGGCGTCACGTCACGTTGCTCTCGAGCGCTAAGCACAAGTTGCTTTCACTAATTTATTGTTTTTATTTGACATTTAAGTGTTGATTTGGAAATTTATTTTTCAGTTCTTGTTTTTTCAGTTGGCGATTGCTTTTATGTAGATGACTTTACACAATTTTTTGGGTAATTTTGGGTTTATGGGGGCAAAATGCATATTTATCTTTTACTTTTTGGAAAATAATTTTTTTTTCCAAATTTCATTTGTCACCCATAGAGAAATGTCACAGAAAATTTGTCTTGTAGCTTTAAGTTCAAAATAACAGTAATAAATATGCAAGCGCAATAACAATAAAATCACTAAGAAATGTGCCGCACTTTGCTGAACAATAAAAAATGCAATAAAATGGAAAACATG